TTCGGAAGTAACTGTATAGAGTTGTTAATACTATGTTAAATTTTATATAATCTGAAAAGGTATTCGTTTGTGTGTTTGTATGTTAGGAATTATCTATGGTAGGTACTTATTTCCCCCCCAAAGTGGGTTCGCCTTGTCTTGGTGTAGAGGGGGGGGGTCTCAGTAGTACCCAGCAATCCAGCCGGACGCGAAGCTAAGAAACGCACAGGGAGGTAGTCCACTTCAGTGTGAGGTGACCCACTTCGGTGGTCGGTGCACCATGCAAGTTGCTCCTGGTACTTCTCTGATAGCAGAGTGGACTGTGAAGCAACCACATGGATATTGTGGTCTGCTTCGGCAGACGTACCGTCGAGGTATCGTAGTTGAGTGCGTAAGCGATCCTGCGACACCCCATTAAGACGGGGAAATGTTTTGTTGGGTTTTAGTGGGTAGTACTGGGTTTTCGAGCCGATGATTCCCACATAACCACCTGTGTGCTTACAGGTGGTATACGTGAATGCATTTCCCAACATTAAAAAAAGTTACTTATTCTATAATTTAAAAAGGCTTAGGTTACCAACCATTTTTTACTTACAAGTATACCTATAAATAACCAAAATATATGACAAGTATCTCTATATCTAGATTTTAATCAAAACAATTAAAAAAAACTTTAATAAATATTTTTAAATATATAATATTAATATGTTAATTTCATACAGTGAACTCAATAAGAAACTTCAAAGTCGAATCAAATACCGCGTTATATTCAAATTACAATATTACAAGTTCTCAAACATTAATTCAAAGATGTTCAAAATTATAAACTTCCTATTGTTTTATAAATTAGTTTCTGACGGGTACCAATAATTTTATGTATATATATATTTACTGACTCTCTAGGAGAGATATTAACGTTTTCATGTATGTACTATGTCTATATATTATGTCTATATGTTTGACACTTCTCGTAGTTCGTTCACTTATTATTATATCGTTTTAAATTATAGACTATGTGTTACTCTGACATATAAGCTATATTATATGAAAAGTTTGATCAAAAATAGTTTTTTTTTAGTTTTTGCGTGAAAGAGTAATAAATATCCATCTCATATCATAGTTTTTTGTTCTTTTATACTGTTAGTCATTATTATGGAAGTGACATGTACAATACATGTTATATGATGTACTATATTATCTATACAATATACATATAATAAAATTGTAACTAAGCCAAATCTGTACATTAAATATTTTTTGGAAAATCTAATTGAAATTGTCATTATTATCGATACAGAGGCAGAATCTATGGTTTTTCGATTTTTTGTCGGTCTGTCTGTCTGTCTGTTACCGCATCACAGAAAAACCTCTGGAGGGATTTTGATGAAATTTGGTATGGTGATAGCTGGTTATCTGGGTCAACATATAGGATACTTTTTACCTTGGGAAAATATCTCATTTCTGAGAAAAAATGCAAAAACTGCAATGCAAGAGTATACTATTCTGTAAAACCTAAGAATTTGGTTTTTGGTCATCTGAACCCGGGCGGAGCGGCGAATAATGCTAGTAGACATATGTATCTAAAGCTAAATATATTTTTATGTGTATGTCTGCTAATCTGTGGAAGAACCGATTTAAGATTTTTTGTGAATATTACTTTGTTAGACTTACAAGAATATTTGATTTTTTTTGCTATTTATAGCTTATTTACATAGGAAGGCTATCTCCGGTATATTTTTTACATAAGAGTATAAGCCAAAATGGCAAATTTTATTTCTCTATGTATCTTCTGACCGATTTAAATAGAGTTAGAATTTTTATTTCCAAAGAATATTTAGTTTCAGCTCTCCGTACCGAAAAGTTTATGAGTCATAGAAGGAGATAAAAATATATTTATGCGAACGACAGAATCGTTTACAAATTATTATAAGATAACTATCTTACGTTTGCACGTGTCTTTAATAGGTACAATTATTTTTATTTTCTTTCTATATCGAAACCCATAGTCTTTAGTCCAAAAAATGTACATACGAGTGCAAGACGAACTCTCCCATACAAAATTATGTAATTCTTTCTGGTTTTCTAATCTCATTAAGTCGTGGTTAAGGTCGTTTTTACTACATTTATTAGTAATTCTTTCACGATGTGATATTTGATCCCTAGTTATCTATAAGGAACAATATTTTAATGACGTAAAATATAAATAACGAGTGATACACATTTACTCCGTTTGCACGTCTATTTCTTTTTGGTCCATAGGATTACTCTTCTTGAAATCGATGGGCCCCTTTTTACTTTTTAAGTTTCCGTACCCGTATGGTGCCATTGGATTTTTTTATTTCCATATTTTTTTTGTTTCCTTACACAAATATTATAATTTTTCACCTCTCAAGGGATACAACTTGGAACAATATTTTTTTTAGTGGTCACGTAATATATCTATGCTATATTATAAGGGTAATTTCAGGTTTTAATGGTTATATATGGTGTTTTCCTCTCACGGTTACTTAGTGTAAGGAAGAATTTCTAAATGCTTTTTCATAATAATTTTTTTGCTCCAATGAACTCTAAATATTATAGTATTATAATTATAACAAAAAAAATAATTTATAAAATTAAGGCTTATATACAAAAAAAGATATTTTACTTTTTAAAAGTAAAGTTTAGTCTTAATAATCATTATTAAAACTAAACATGTCGAGTAAAAAATTTTGTTTATTTACCCAGAGTAATAATAAACTGATTAAAATGCAACATAATTAAAAATTTTAATAAATATTTATAGAAAATCACAATGAAAGGCGACGATGGTAATTTATTCAAATTTTGGTAAGATTGTTTGGCCGAGGGTATTATCTCAGTCACTCTGTATTATTCATTATTTTAGATGTTACGTTTTTGTAAGGGTTAGCTTACATGGTTTTTGATCATATTCAGGTTTTTTAAGGTAGACCTAAAACAATTACCTATGTGGTTTCTCTTTCAGAGATTTTTTAGCACTAACCTGGAGTTAAAAAAATTGTATGTTGCTCACACAGAGCACAAATACACGCAGACATACGTACCCAGATATAAAATGACAAAATGTGTGATAAAAATGATGACGCGAAGGCGACTTGCATTTGACCAAATTTTACATAAAACAAAAAGTACTTTTGCCTCAAAACATTATTGTCTACTAGTGACCTTCGTTTATACGTCAAAACTTGTGTTATTATACGTTATTCAGTCATCTCAAATGGTTAACTTAAACTTGTATTGAGTCGTTTTTAACGTCCCACTGCTGGGCACGGACCTGCCTTCAATACGAGGGGGATCAGGCTATAGCCCGTATTCCACCACGCTGGCCAAGTGCGGGTTGGCGCACTTCACATGTCTTTCGAAAACTTGCTAGGTTCTCTAAGACATGCAGGTTTCCTCACAATGTTTTCCTTCACCGTAAGGCAAGTATGTGGTAATCATGTCAGAAATGATTCGCACATGAAAATATTAGAGGTGCGAGACCCGGAATTCAAACCCGCTTCACTCGGTTTCCCAAGCGAGCGCGTTACCACTGGGCTACCATTGCCTACAACTCAAACTTAGCATAAAAGTAACATCCGTAATATTACCTATATACGTATATTGTATGCTCAACCTAATGGCATGACACATGTGGCTTAGGCTTTATGTTTATTTAACTAGGTATAAGTATAAAAACTAAAACCTAACTACGGATAAAATCATACTCTAAAACATTTTAAGTTTAATACAGAACTTTATATACTCTAGAGGGCGCCATATGTATTAAGTATGACGTGACATAGCCCGTAACTAGTGGACGATGAAGACGGTGCTAACCATAACTCATTTGTCAAACGATACCTCATAGTACAAATACTCGTATATATATACATACACAGCTTGTTGAAATTATAACCCCTTGTAGTTAGATAAAAATATAAATAAATCTCCTCTTATTCTCTTATATCTTGTATTGTATTCAGACCTTTTTAACGTCTGACTGTTAGGTACGGGCATTCCTTCAATACAAGGGGGATCAGGCCATAATCCACCACGCTGGCCAAGTGCGGGTTGGTGGACACGTCATGTCTTTTAAAAACTTGTTAGGTTATCTCAGACATGAAGGTTTCGTCACGTTTTCCTTCACCATAAGGCAAGTGATAATCATGTTGGAAATTACTTGTACATGAAAATATCAGAGGTGCGAGACCTAGGATTTGAACCCGCTGCCACTCGGCTATAACTTCTATACCTATATTTTGTATCGACCTATAATTAAGGTTAGTAAAACTGAATTCATACTACCATTTCAATAGATTTCAAAAATGGTCTGGACAATCGATGCGATCCTCATGAATTTGGCTATCCCATTGTATTTTTCCACATACAAAAAATAAACTAAGAAATAGAAATTTATTCAGAGGCTTGGACTAGGTTTTCAGTTTTGTTTATCTGTGTAATTTATTAGAAAATTACACAGATAAGAGATTTTGATGTAGAAGTTATTTTTGTCATAGGAGTGACTACATTTTTTTTTTATTTATTATAAGTAAATAAAAAAAATACATTCAAAAACGAACCAAGCTTTAATATTTTTTAATGGAAGCTATCAGTTATTTTTGTTTTTAACAAAAATCATTATAAAATATACATTTTTAAGTTTTTTAATGATTGACTAAACCTTTAAAAAAAAGTTTAAGTAAATTTTATGTCAAAGAGTGCCATAAGACAATATATCTTACTTTATTGCATATTGGCGTATTATTGGTTATAAATAAAACAGATTTGAATTAATTAATTAAATATTCGAATATATGTAACAATAGATAAATACATTTTAAAATGCCAATTAAATTTAACACAAAAAGTAAATGTAAACTGTTGTATCCCCTCGTAAACATTCCAAGCCTTTCGCGGGTTCTTCCATCGTACAGTCACTTCCGTCTTGTATAAAAACTTAGACCATCAGCTTTGGAGTATCACTACGTTTGGTACCGGCGATATCTACACATACCGACATGAAGACTTTTGTAAGTTAATTTTTATTATAAGTGCTATACATTGGTTTTAGTGATCGATTAATTTTTTAGTAATTTCTTATATATAACTATCTTTTCGAATTATTTCGCGGATTTTTTTGATTTTTGGATCCCGACATTTTGAATGCTTTACAGCAATCATGGCCATAGGAGAGACTTTATAGATAAAATTTCTTATAACTTTTAACAAGTTTGAAGTGAAAAATCCTTCAAAGCTTTCAAAATAGAATTCATTAACGGTCTATAAAGTATAAAGTAACTGCGACAGTATTATATTTTTTTCTGTATTTTTCTTTTGTTATTTTTTTAATTACTTATTTAGTATTAAAAGTTTTCTAACAATTGTATTACTTCTAAAGGTTTTAATTGAACAAATCTAAAAACTTTCATTAGGACGCTAAGTTATAAAATATATTATAAATCCGCATTTATGTACATTATTTTTACTGTAGTAAGTTTAACTATAAATAAGAGTTGAGTGAATTATTTTATATTTGTTGAAGGTTTTTGTTATAATATATACCTACATTTAAAAAAACGTAATTGAATTATACTCTTATGAGTACTTGCTTCTTTTGAAGTCGGTCAAAAATTAGAACTTAAAAGAATTTCATGACAAATGACATAATACTGTACTAGTAATGACCATCGAAGCCTTAATCATTTTTAGCATAATTTTTCGAAAGCTTATATTAAAGCTCAGTGTTAAAAACTGTATAAACTAATTAAAATTAATAATAAATAAGCGCTTTTAGTGCGCAGCAAATATTTCTCTCTATTGATTTGGAGCTTTTATTAGAAATAATATGGGACAGAAACTTTATCATTCGTTTAAAAAATACTGTCTACTTTAAATTACTTTGTTAGATATCAAATATTCAACAAAGTAATAAGTTTTAATAATTCAGAATATTGTATAAATTTGCGTTGATTTCTAGTAAAAATATCACAGTATTAAATATATATTCGTTTTATTAGATACTAACGTAATAATAAAGTGTAGACGCTTTTAAATTTTAAAAATAATAAAAACAATCTATAACTCAACTTTTTAAATTTTGTTTTAAACAAATAACGCTCAATTCAAATAAAAGTATCTTTACGGATTTTTTCGCGGATTATTTTGATTTTTGGTTCCCGACGTTTCGAATGCTTCATAGCAATCATGGTTACGGGAGAGACCGAGGTTTTAGACGTCTCAGAAGTTATTATTTACTTGTTACAGACAGTGCCTACCCACATTTTTACAAAATGATTTCAAAATTTTAAAAATGGCACCAAAGTACCTTACCTTATTTATTGATTTATTTAAAATGTCAAATATTCGCGTAAATCTAAGAAAGTATTAAATAATGCTCAATTTACTTGTTATTATTACTCAAGGCTGGCGTCGCGTCATAGAGATTTTAGAGAAGGTAAAAAATAAAAATAAAATTCTTTAAGTTATTTTGAAGTAATAGCTTATTTAACTATTTGAAAAATAAAATTGATTTACTGATTAAACCTTAAATTATAATATATCATCCTCCTGTTGTGTACCTACTATAATAAAAAATATTTATAATATATAGAAATATACGTAAATCTTTCTAAGCGACAATTTATGCAAGTGTTTAACTGCAAAACTATCTTAATTTTATACCATTGTTTTACCTCAGGACGTAAAGGTTTACATCGTATTATATAAAATCCACATAATTTGCTTCCTTCTTACTTCTGCCATTGAAATGTGGCATTAAAAATATTTAATAATATATGTTAGATATAGTCAAGTAAATATCTAATAAAACAAAACATAAAAACACCAAAACTAACTTACTAAGATTATTTATCTTAGTTATTAGGTATATATGTATATTTTTCTTACTCTCAAAAAATCATAAACTATACATCGTATTTTATTTAGGTTTTAAGCTACGCTTTTACATACTCAATCTGTTTTGACCATGTATGGACGTAATAAAATGATTTTTGATTCTGACAAGTAGTATACAGCGGTTGTGTTTAATTTGGTAAAAAATCTGTCAAAAAAATCAATTTATCACCTAAAGGGTAGCTAAAAGTGAGTTATGGATAACTGTACATTTTATAATGTTTTTATTTTGCTTAAATATACTCAAACTATAGCTGAATTTCCAAAACCATTGTTTTTTTTTCAAATTTTCTTTGTTTTAAATGTAATGTAGAACTAATAATGTATAAGAACTGGGTATAAAGTGTTTATTATAATCAATTATACAATATCAAGTGACAAATAGCCCATTAGCTACCTGTCATGGCGACAAGTTAACACTTTAATTATACGTATACAAAATATACTTTAAAACAAACGCATTAGATTCTAAATTCGCTTGTGCTAGAATTCTAAACCAGTTGCAGAGGTAATGAACATTGAACAACTTTTGACATGTTGCATTGTAGCGTCAGACACAAAATAAAAGGTGTTTTTAAGATAATTTTATATTATATTATTATTTTTTTTACTTTCATTATATACAATATTTATTCTATTAATATTTTTGCATTTATTTAAAATCGAATTAATTATCGCCTTATCTAACGAAAGTGGCTAAAACCTAGATAATATCCAGAATTTTTTTATTTATAATATAATAAATTAGAACATTCTATCTTATATTTTTTTATACTAACCGTACAAAGATAAATGAGTCGAGGTTTGAAGCTAGTTTCGCTAGTGTTAGAATATATGAAGTTCCTAGTTTTGTAACTATAAATACGAGTAATTGCAGCTATTACATAATAGGTACGTTAATTACAACCATTTATTCTATATAATAGTGAAATGGAAAAGAAATAAGAAATACATATCAGAGGAATAAAAGGGCTTGGAAGTGTATATCATGGAAATGGAATGGATATGGAAAATCCGTTATATTTAGTAGCAGTGACCAAAATTGTAAATATCTTATCGTCTTATTCAAAGTTTTAAGCTGTAGATGGTCTGGAGATCAAAAATAGGAAATGATGTAAACTATGCGAGCAGATCCGCGAAACGTTAGTACTTGATATAACAATATCAAATTCCGACCGCGAATGTTTTGTCTCCGAAAACCCATTTCAATTGGAGTATTGACTGGTGCAAAGAGTTACTTAAGGATGGACGGACTTACACTACAATTACAGAACTACTATAATAAATGCGAAAGTTTTTGTTTTCGTGTATGTTTGTTGTTTGTTATCTTCATACGTACATTGTAAGACCAAAGAAGGTAAAATGTTAAAATTAGACTATTCTGAAATATAATGTCACCTAAATTCAAATTTAAATATTGTGAGACAGTTACAAAAAGTCCGTGGTTTTTACTGAGATTGTGGTAAACGTTATTTTCGTCATTCGCGGTTGCTAATTGAATTTCTTAAGCTCCTTCCTTTGGCGTGTTTTATTAAAAAGTTGAATGTTCTTAAATTATACGTAACTTTTTTTACAATTTGGATTATTATAACATTCCTGTACCTAGGCAGGCACCCAATCGAAGCGTTGTTACGTAAAATATTTTGGGAATCGTGTTCCTTTAAAACTATCTTCATACATTTTTCCGTAAATAAGTGTTAACAAGAAATAGTGTGGGGAAAATCTCCGGTTTCAAAGTCGATTGAACGATTACTATTGCCCGGTTAGGAGCTCAGCCATGTGAAAATCGACTCAGAATCCAATTTATTCCTATTTCAAAAGAATTAATAGTGATGCCTGATATCGACATACGTACTTGTTCAATTAATAAAATAACCATAGAAATGTTTGCGTCTTTATAAAAAAATAGTACTCAACCACGCTTCGCTCGGGTTCTTCTCTAGGTTGATGCCCCATACAAACTTTCATTCCCATTTTCACGCCCTTAAGAGATGATTAAAAGGTAAAAGCCATCCTCTAAGGGTATTAAACTATCTTCTTACCAAATTTTATATAAATCGGTCCAGTAGTTTTGGAGCTTATTCGGTACAAATAAACAAACAAAAAAATCTTTCCCCTTTATAATATTAAGTATAGATATACTTATTAAAAAAAATAGTCAATAAAATTCATTCCGTTTAACTTGCAAGAGAAAATGTGTATAATTTATATTATAATACACGCCTAATAACAAATAACAACACACCAAATAAAATTTAACTTTATATAGCTTTATTGCAAATTATGTAACTTGAATGGTAGCTAAGAGCATTTAACTGGCATAATGACACAAAGTGAACTAAAAAACAAGTCGTTACGTTATAAGAGAAAGGCAGATGTTAGATATCCTTATGAGAGTTATTAGTACTTAATATGGTGTTTTTACTCTTCACGCTCTATAATTTGGGAATGGCAGTATCATATCCACATTTTGTCAAAATATTTTACTTGAATATCTTCTGTAAGCAACAATGATATTGTAAAAGTTATTTTACTCAGTAACAGAATTATTCGAAAGAAACTTGGAATGAGCAAACAAAAAAACCTACTTTTCATCGACGGACCTATTTATTATACGAGCTAATAAACAAAGATACCATAATAATTTTAAATAAAACTATTTTTTCGGATACAGAGACATTGTGACCATGATTGCTGTAAAGAATATAAAATGTTGGTAGCCAAAAATCTAAATAAATCCGTGAAAAAATCTAAAAAGATAGCTTTATTTATAATGTCAAATATTTAAATCTAATAGTAACTCTAGAAAAATATTAATATAATAAATTAAAATATTTCATTTTGTAAACAATCACAAATTTTAAAGCAATATAATTATGATTTTTTAATTCAATGCAAAATTTTATAGCATTTTTTAAATCGATATACATGCTACACATGGCTTTGACATCACTACGGATTAAGGGAAGGCGGTTTATTTACGGATTTATATGACATGCCTCTACTTTGCCCAATAAATGGAGTAAAATCATTGGTTAGATTTATTTATTAAATATTCAATATACGGTTCCAAGGTAAACAAAAACTATATTATAGGTATAATATTTGAAATACTGGC